TTTAGACTCAACCCTTGTATTTACGCATCTTTTATGTGAGCTTCCGCCTCCACTGCGTTGCTGTATACCCCACCTCCCCAGATCTTCGGTGGACAAAACTGTCAGATGTATCCACTATACGGCAAATACGCGGTTTTCACATCTGAAGATGATGCCTAACCTTGGAGCGATTAGAAAATGATGTTTCAATGGCTTTGTTCTACTCTTTTATCGAAGTGAGTTAGAATGCTCGTGAGTGGTGTTTCTCACCGTCATTCGTGAGCCATGAGTCAGATGTCGCCGTGTCAATTCCACCGAATTTACCCATCACTCATCATGCCTAGTGGCGCTCTATTTCACTGACCAACAAAAGTTTTTTAGCTGCTGTGTGCTTGGGGGCCCCAACTGCTTTGGTCCCACCGATCGTTTTCTATTGTTAGGGAGGTTTTCACGACCTAAACCACCTAAGTATGATAACTCACCATGCGACTGGAAGAGCTGAAACGCAAATGAGGGTATATCGTGTGAGACAGACCATGCAAGAACATACCAAGGATGAAGTTTGTAGTTAGGTAACCAGCCGGTAGACTTCGCAAACTACGCAATATCCCCTATCCCTTGCGAAATTTACCCTTCATTCGGCCAAATTACATTCGATGTCTTCAAAGTCATCAGTGAGAGGTGTTTCCGGAAGGAATAAGCTGTTCCGCGGTAGGAAACTGGTCACATTCCACTCGCTGGACTGGCCATGAAACCCACTTCCTGTAGCGGAAGACTATGCCTCACAGAGTCCATTCCGCTCACTTGCGAGCACAATCGATGAAACATAGTCTTACCAACCAAGTAAAAAGGTCCCTGTCCGTAAAATCAACTCAGATGAAAGCTGCCGTCATTCCGGGCGAAGACGGCAATGGCTGGTGACACTTGCTTTGTATGACTGAATATGTTGTGCGGAGAAATACACTCATCTCCAAATCAATTTGGTTTTCATGGGAGACTCAATTGAATCTCTCGTTTATGATGTCCCCCAGCTGAATATGCTGCCCACGAAACCGGTCGTGGGCTGTCGAAGAGTTCTCAGCAACCTTGTGAGTAGTTTCCTTTATGCTGTGCGGAGGTTTCGATGATCCCAGTTGTCCAAAGGGAGCCCCCCAACAATATGGACGACATGACCGTACTGCACAGGTTTATGATTTTAATAGCCGTTTAGGGATGTCGTAAGATGCAACTGCTTCGCATATCCAGAGGCAGTCACTCTAGAGCTGCCAAAAATGTTTTTTTTACTATATAGGTTCTGATTGATCGATTTTACCCTGGATGCTTGTAAATACATATACTGTTTATCTGCGGTCAGTGGAAGCACGGACAAAATGTTTTACCAAGCAATCTTATCAGGGATTTGGTACAATGTTTCTTTGAAGCACGGATTGCATTGTGGGAGTTTCTCTTGGTTTACTGCTAGAAGAAAGTGGAGGAATTTGTACGCTGTTTAGTTTATGATTTGGCTGTGTCCAGCTGGTAACATCTGACTTCATTGTGCAAATTTGCTCTTGCTGATTTCAGTAATGTACAAAACTTTATATCGTTCTAGTGTTAGGAAGAACATGAACTGATTGAAGGCAATCCTTTCGTCACCTCGTCTGAGTTTGAGGATGAGACATCTCATTGCTTCGTGGGTCTCTAACAAAACAGACTGGCGTTTTGGAGACTGAATCAAAGTATTAGGATTTTGGCTATTTTTCAATGAAGAAGATTCATCGGGGGCGAGCGAGATAGGCTAAAAATTATTTTTATTAAGTATACGTTGGTTCTGTGCATACTTTCATATAACTCATTTCCAACGCAAAATGGCCAACTTCTGTCGTTTTGTCGGGAATTAAGGGTTTTATAGGGCAACGTCTTGGGCGCCACCCACCACGAACTTGTCAAGCGCAGCGAAAGCAAATGGGTTGATCAATTGGGGCTTCCTAATGAAGCAGCGTAAGATTCAACTCGCGTTAGGTCCCCAGTGTCGTTCAGCTTCTGTTCAAGGTGCAGCGTTAGCCTTTGCACAACCTATGTGCAGGTTAGCACGAGAATTTTCGAGGATGATGGAAAGGGACTGCCATCATGGCCGCTGGATTCCGCATGTCATCTCACCTCCCAGACAGGTGGAGCCGATTCATATTCTCACCGGCGCTGAGTTGGAATCAAAGTTGAGCTAACATCTATGGAAATATCATTGAGCCCTCAGATAGACAATGGTCCCCGACACATACTTTCGCTTTTTTTGGAAACACGTAACACGAGAAACAGTGACTAGGACTTTCCTAACTGGGGTTCATCATCATAACCATACGTTGTGAAAACTGCGTACTTGACATGCAGTGGTCATAGCTCCCAAAGTTTCGTTCACCGAGGGAGATGGACAGAAGGCTGCGCATTGGAAGCGGTAGCTGATATAATTGATGCGTAAATTCGGGATTGCCATTGGATTTTTAATTGGGGAGATTAGGAGGCACTGAAGGCAATAGCTTTGATGCATGAGCGCCATTGAGGGCGTGACTAAACCAAGTCTGACAATGTTTCTAGCCATTGGTGTGTTCTGTCTCGGGGTCCGCATCCAGGAAGGTGGCAGTGACCAGCGCAGGTGAGTTTGCTGGTAGCGGCTTTCATGCTTCACTGCCAAGTGATTGCTTGGCCTCGCTTGGTTCGTTTTTACCATTCACCTCTGCGACAGGCAGAGGTTACACGGGGACAATTCATTGAGAGCGACTGACAACTTTACTCGTTCCCCAAGATACTCATCGCCGACCTGGGGCGAACTTTCCAACATAGATTGGCACTGCACTTCAGAGCACGTACGAACCTGGGACGGTACCGTCAAGTCGGTCATCGGGCGGTTCGATTTCTAGCCAGCATGCAATATCCGTTGCTGGAGTCCGAGTCTGATCTCAGTCTGTGGGAAGCTTACCGCAGTTCAGGTAAAGAAAAAGTGTAAAGATGACTCACCCTGTCAGAGGATCTAAAGCAAACAAATGCCATGATGTAATTACCAATGATTATCCGAAATCTGAACCCATGTCTTTCTAGTCTCGTTCCTTCGACTATTCTGTGCCTCCTTATTGTTTGCGTTCATTTCGTGACCTCATTCAGCTGTTAATTACATTACATTACATCCTTGGAAATGTCATGTAGAATGCCTTAAAGATGTCAGCCTACGAATTTCGAGCCTGACTGCTGGACTGCAGATATAGGTCGTTATACCTGCTTGCTCCGTACGTTTGAACGATTGATGTCGATAACTAGAATACAGTGGGTGATTGTTATAAGAAAACCGAGACGACTACGGGACTACTCGTCCCTGTTTTCAGTAGACATCGTGGAAATGCCAAAGCGATAGAGGAGAATGTCGGTAGCTCAGGTAGCGTAGATGGTCGTTGGTGATGAAACGTTTGCAACCAAATTGCCCAGCTCAGCGAACAAGCCAACGACCCTGCCAAAGCAATGTCCGTTCGAGCTTACCAAGTGTTATCACAAAGTGCCGCTTCCGGAAGTTCTGACTAATACCCAGCAAAAGAAGATGGATCTGATTGCAAAAGCCTCCCGGATATTTAGACGCTGGATTGTTTGTTTAGATGGATCCACTCTAAAAATCGATGCAAATGTTTGAAATCTCTCACTCATTACATTTCGTATGCATCACCAAATTCGGCACGGCAGTTGGGTCCAAAGATATGCATTCGGGTGGTGACTGTGCGTACGTGGAAGTTGAACTAAGCTGTCACGACAGTCAAAATGGAAACTCGTCAACTTTGCATTCTCGTGTTGATTCAACTTTGAAGAAGGACATTATGGCTAGAAAATCTAAAACTCAGGTATACGGAAAAGGCTCATCGGAAGTGTCGGAAAGGTTTTTGGATTCTCTGAATTCCGGCATTACGCAGTCATCTGACATCACCGGTCGAAGTGAATTTGGAGGGGATTCAAACTGTTTTTCGATGCACAGGATGAAAAGGGGAAAAATTCAAAACTCAAAAATTCACTTTAGTCAAACGGAAGCCACGGAACTAACCCAAACAGAGAGCTCAGACAGTCCGTTCAATTCACATCCAAGTACTGTTGGGATAAAGCCCTCTTTAGCTGAAAAGTTACATTTATTGGGGTATATCAAAAGTTCACTTGACGATTATACGTCGAGGCTGGTCAGAGAGAGTGCCGCCTGTCGGACAGCCAGTTTGGAGACCAGCGGGGAGTTAATAAAATCGTTGGACAAGTTGCAGTCGGAGACCGCTCGGTTCCGCTCTCGGAACGGAAGTCTGAACGAGAAGGTTGAGGGACGAGCCCAAGTAAACAAACGTTTGCGTGCCAAAATCAAAGCGCTCGTTACAGCATCTCAGAAACTGTGCACCGATGTGGTTAGTCTACAATCCCAAAATGATACGGACATGTAATTCCATGCCACGAAACGGTCCACATTCCTCAGGAATGTTTTATAGAGCGAGAGGGTGACTGTAACAGGTAACTTCACCGACAATCGTGACTCAGCCGCGTGAATTATTAACCGTCATTATTGCATATTACGACCGGTACACAAGGAAGAAGTCTTTTTAGTGAAGAGTTCGGTGTCAGCTGCAATGGCCAGTGCTATGTTTCTGCGGTCTTTGATGTGTTTTTTAGTTGAGCCTTCTGCGGTATGTGTGGACATTATTCACCGCCAGCCACGGGCTTCAGCTGACTCATTTCAAGTGTGAAATCACCGAGAAACTGACAGCTCCTGCGATTCCTTCTGGGTAAACCGTGATTCTTGGGAAATTTCCCAGTTCCATATACATCAACATAAATGGACTGGTGTGAGTGAAAAGCCAGTTCACACATTTGACCATTCATAGGCTGAAGCGTTCACTATTCTGGAGGAATATTTCTCACAAGCTATTAAAAATTATTGATTCAGCAACTCATAAATGGTAGCGAGTTATTATTCTCAGGAATCACTCGCAAAACCCCGATGAGGTCGAGCAATTACATCACACACTTTACTTGAATCTCGTCTTTTTTCACATTCAGTTCCTTGTTTCAAGCAGAGTCATAATCAACGGCATTATTCTGGACTAAATAACTGAAAGTCTGTTAATGGCCCTGATCAGTGGACTAGTTGAAATCAATGCCATAGCCTCATCACCATGAGAAGGAGTACCATTGATGCTCATAGTGATACTGAAACATTATCTCCTCTAGTACTCCATACTCCTCTAGTACGAAATAGTAAGTAAAGATGTTTCCTAATAAGCAAGTGATCAGGACACGCTTTTTAGTGAGCAGTCAAACTCCCAAAGACAGCCTCTACCGAAGGCTGAAGGGGACAAAATACCGTTCAGGTTTAGCCATATTAGTGACCTCTGTAAAGAAAGTGCATAGCCTAAGAGTTGATGAATGCATACTTCCCCTATGATAATGCATCTTGAGAATCCACAAGAATAGTCAAACACAAGAAAGCCTTCTGAGTTAAACTGGCCCACCCTACCAGCCCGGCTATGGAGATCGACTACCGATAACCTGAGATCTGATCGAATGAAAATTGTTCATTTATCCCAATATATGGTTATGCGGAGCTAGGCAGAACGGTTTGGAATGACAACAACATTATGTTAGTGCCAAAGCATGAAGAATGATCGTAGAGCATAAAACTTTGTGCCTTATCAAAGCTTTCCGGGAATGACCGACTGAATGACTGCGAATCATAGCGTACCTGGCGCCAAACTCAATTTTCGGAGCACTCCGTCGTTGTCCAGCAGTTCGTTCTGCGCTCGGTGAGGTTTGACGTAACTGGTCAAAAACGGGGTGAGAGTATCCGCTTCAAATGTGATGTAATGGTTTCTTGAACAAATGGGTTTAGTTCATGCTTTGTCGGTGTCAGTTACTCTCTGGCTTCAGTAAGCCAAAGGGCATACATAAAGCACCCTTCCGGTGTTTTACTGCCACGCCACCGGAAGGAAACACGAGAGCCGAGATAATTCCAAGTTGCCCAAGCCTAGACAGCAGTCGAGAGGCAGAGGTCGGGTTCGAACCACGGACCTTCCGGTCAGCAGGTTCACGACTTAACCACTGAGCCATCTCCAGCTCCAGTAGGCCAAGGACATGGATATTGATACCGATCGTTAATTGTTTCCATAACTGCAGTCGCTCTCGCTGTTGCATCCATCAGTGCGACGTAAATGCCGTCAACACAACTTCTCACTTAAATTTCGTGGTAGAAAAGCTTGACATTTGTGATTTCTAATGTCATCTCCAGTTGTAGTCATCCCTTGCGGAAGCTTAGCCGCTGAAAGAACATAAATAACGTCTGGTTTCACCAGATCACATGGTTCTTGTGGCAGTATCACCATGAGTGAAAAGGTCGGGTTTTAGCATGGGCGTTTCGGGGATTATTTATTCCTTTAAATGTCTAAAATTATTGACCAACTTGTCGTCCGCGGTTGCAGTTCCGAACAGTAATACCAGTCCAGTCCAGTGTGTGTGTGTGTGTGTGTGTGTGTGTGTGTGAGAAGCATAGTTGTTGTGGTGATGTAAAAGGCAGTTAATAAAAAACTGGGTAGAGTTTTCGTGCCAGCTTGATAACCCATTCCCTAAGACATACAAAGTTTTCTCAATGAAGACCCATTAAAGAAGTTTAACATGAACAGTGGTTGTAGTGGTCTGGCTACCCAAAAAGCTACTTTACCAGGAGTGTATGGCAAAGAAATAAAAATACTAAGGCTAGTTTGTGTGTACAGTAATAAAGAGGTCAGATGGAACAGACTCACTAATAATTGTTCTCTTTAAAATAGTTCGTCTTTGGCCCAGGTCAGTGAGTAAACAATAATCCAATCATGGCTGTCCAGGGGTCTTCACGTGAACAGTTCTCATCTATAGATTCCGAAGATTGTCTGAAATGTTGTGATACCAGAGTTAGCACATGAGACTCGCGAATGACCGCTGTAAGCGCGAGCGAAATCAGAAGAGAGAGAGAGAGAGTAGAAGCACGTGACCACATTTGTATTGCGTGAAATTGCACAAGCGCGCGTTTTTGTAGTTTTTCGTATTCAAACAAAAAACGGCTATGCGATCGACACGTAATGTTATAATGGAAGAAAAAGGAAGATACAAAACACAACTTCGTAAAGTCCGTGGTTTTTCCATTTTTCCAGTCTCGTAGTTTGTATGTGGCCAAAAGAACTTGAAGTTCTGGGTGTAACTTTGTCCAGCAAATGAGAGTAGCCTCTACTGAAAAGCTGAGGAGCGTTGTTGAGCTGTTTTAACCTTGGTGAGAACAAACAGCAGCTGTGCTCTTCCGGTGATCAGCTGAACACGATACCGCTCGGCAAAGACTGTCTGATTCGCCAAGATCCATGTGTGCCTAGCTGCTAACAATCATTTACGTTAGAGGTATCAGATACCCTTTAGATACCATATAAACACAAGTGGACTTGGATGAAATCCTCGCCCAAACACACGCTGGCAAACCCGTGTGATGCCAAATTGGTTACAAGCTAATTTTTCAACTCAGCGAACAAATCAAGTGACACCTAATTGACAGTCGGTTGACGCATCCGAGCTGTCAGTATATATTGAAGCCAAGTCAGATTTCCTTAACGCATTCAGCGACAGCTGGTTGGTTTTACCGATGGCTCCGCAGATCACTTTATTCCTTCCCATAACCAAAAATTGTGCAACTTAGTGGAGGGTAACAGTGTACTTTGAAGTTTATGAACGTGCACAATAAAGCCTACAATAGGGCAAAGCCTGTACTCCTCATGGAAGTATTGCCTATTCAAGAAAAAACCTTGTCGGGAACCAGAAGATGTAATCTATGGACTTCGCGTCCAGAGTCATAGAGACAGCATTTGAGCTAATGGGACTTCACTGCAGCCGGGCGCCGGACTCTTGACCGATATGTTGGCCAGCAGATAACTTACAGATGGACATAATTAGTTCAGTAGTTTCCAGATAAGATGAAAAATTTGGTGTTGAATGAAAAAAGTTCCAGCAAAGAGGCATTCAAGAACCTGCTTAGGCATCACTCAGGTGACAATCTAATTAAAGCAGTTTGTCACATACACAAGTGAAATTCGTTTTTCTGTTCATAGTACCAATCAGAAGATACTTTCATCTTTGATGAAACAGGGAAGCCACTTCGTTTTCTAACGAATACTAATTTCTCGCTTTTGGGAATCAAAGAAGGTCTTGAAACTTTTAACTCTTGTACCTTCATGCTGCAGCGTTGTCGAGGCACTGCCGCCATTTGCCGGGGGGAGCAGTACCCGTCTGTATGGCGTGAAGTGGCTACGATCTTGGGAGAACCGCTGACAGTACGTTCATTTGTTGACGACAACTGCTGTCAAATCCTTGTTATTAGGGAAATAAACTTTTGAAAGAATTGCATGGTTTCGTTCTCGTTTTGGACCGAATCCCAAAACAAGCGATGCTTCGAAGTAACAAGTGGGATGAGCACCCTAGTTTGGGTTGATCACCCAAGTTTCCATTTCGCTGTGGATTTGTGTTGGCATGCGAAGTCCGATGGTGTTCTAAGTTGGGTGAATAGGTTTTCTTTCCAAGTGGCCCGGTTACACAACACCAGTGTTCGTGTTTGGGTTTTTGTACTGGAATCGAAAGAGCCTGGTCATCTCAGCAATCTCTATTGACAAATCCCTCACGTTAGCGATGATTGCTCCAATTTCGTCACTGCTTACGTAACCAGTCCTGAAACTTCAACCACATACCGTGACTTGGTGACAGTAGGCGCATAGTTTCTCTCTTTATCACATCCGTCCTGTGTTCCGTGAAAACTAGCTGCCGAAGCCTTTCGGATGATCACCGAATTGTGCCGGAGAATGCGAAAGTACCAGACTGGTGGATGGGCAAATAAGCCGGTGACCAAACCCAACAGCAATTCTCCGAAATATGATGTAAACAAATAGCTAAACGTTCAAGTAACTCAAAATGACATTTGGAAATGTGTAGCCCTCACGCTACGGAAATAGTTGTCCAGAACGTTAGTTAATTTTCCTGATACTGGGCATCTCAAGTAGCCGCGCGTTTTTAATTGGCCATACAAGTACTAAATTTACTCGGTGAAGAACAAGAAAAAAGTAAAACGGTCCTCCCATAGTGCGACTGGCCTCGTATGTCAAGTTACTGTCAGGTAGACTTAATGGCGAATAGCGTTTGAATCACGGATAGCTTACCCACTTCAAAGACAGCATACGTTAGAACAGTAGACTAGGATCAAGGGTATCAGGACGGATGTGGTTGAGGCGAACGAGGATGGTGCACTCGAATAAACTTTTGTCAGTGAGAACACTAAGGTTCTTACCGAGACACTTCAGAAACCGCCCGAGTCATTAGCGTGGGAGTAGACCTTCCATGCGATGACTGGACGATTGAATTAGCTGCACAGATTGAAGAATGAACA